ATCTCTGCTGGTAGACTATTCCAATGCCTTATAGTTCTAGGGAAAAAAGAATAAAAATACGTGTTCTTTGTGGCTTTGTCTTGTATATATCTATATTGATGGCTTGCGCGAGTTCTAAGTTCGGTGTTTGGATTCAGATGAGTGTCGGTGTCGACATCGATTTGCCCTCGGCTCATCTTATATAACAAGGCTAGCCGAGTCATTGTTCTTCTTAGCTCCAAGGTGGTCCATCCTAACTCGTGTAGCATGTCTGTGACACTGGCTGTGGGATGATAATTGTTGCTACAAAACCGTGCTGCTTTTCTCTGGACTCTCTCAAGAGAAGCGATGTCCTTTTGAAGATAGGGATCCCAAGCAGCACACGCGTATTCAAGTTTTGGGCGTGATGAATTCATGAGTGCAGATGTCACTTGCGAGCCTTATTTTCATGCCGTTGAAGTTATCGCGTTCATAATATCTATACCAAATGTTAATCGAGCTGGAAATAGTGATGCTATTGATTGAAAATGGCGACTAGAATATTATTAGTTTTATGCTTGGGAAAATGTTATTTTTGAGATCCAAATATTATTGGGATCGTCTAGGCATTTCCTCAGAATACTTTTGGGCTATGGTTATAAAAAATCTTAATTAGTAAAAAATCCATGTACTGAAGAAAATATTTTAAGTAATATGAAAGAGTTTTTGAAAAAAGAAATTTAATCAAAGTCCGTGTTAAAAGAAAGTGTAGTACCTATAATCTGACTTGGATGTCACATCCCCATTAATTCATTATAAATCCGGTATTGTGGTGAATCAATAAAGGAAACATTACGGTTACACGAAATCACACGCATTTATTTACAGTATTAGGCCTATCAACTTCGTTTACACAATGTGCTAGTAAAATCTAAATCAACAACAATGCAAATTTTTGCGAAACTAACCATGCGAAATTATATAGCTGGGGTATTAGTTTCTTACTACAAATATTGCAGTTAAAACTTGATATATGCCACTATTTAAAAAATAAAAATAGACTTTCGTAAGGCTGACAACATAACATTTTACACAGACTACTTTCTTTAATTTCCTACAAAAAAATCACCGCACATTATATACAACTAATTTTGAAAGGAATTCGAGACTTAAGTTCACTTCTGATCACCATCAGTTCTTCTTCCCATCAGTTAATTACTTTAGAGTTTACACGTCAATTCCACAGTATCGATAAGAGCAAGCAGGTGTTGGGCCAAATTTGTAGATATAAAAGACTCCACAGTTGATCACTTCGATATCTTTTTTAGCCCAACAACAATTATTGGCCCAACTGAAGCACACCGTGCGTGTGACTTTTCCATCACTCACAGATGGATGAACGCCATTCAACCATGAAACACCAAGAGTACGACATTTTAAATTGTTTGTGTCAACGTCTCTCGGAACACAAGTAGTAGACAACTGAGTTCCAGCATCACCACCAAATCTGTACCATCCAGATGAAATACCATCGTCACACAACAACGAACTGCTGCCACTTCTATACTTTATGTTTCGATCTTGGTTATCAAGCAATGTATAACTGTTGCATTCTTGCCGATCTACAAATGTTCAATATAAAATAAATAAATATTGAGCTATATACCGAAAGCACAGCTCGAGTCGATTATGTCTGTGCTACTCCCTTTCGGTTTATAGACCAGAATTACAGTTTGTTGAAAATATAGAAATACTCACCGCTCAATAACTTGGATTCTTTTTTTTCAACTTCCACAGATTTTAGATCCATCTGAAATATAAGAACGCAATTATGTATAGATAGTTCATTGAAGTTTACATTGCAGCCATAAGCTGAATTAAGTAAAATTTACAAGAATTGATAAAAAAGGATCTTAAAACAAGGACTTTTATTATATGTACAAGAATTCCACTATATATATAAGAACACAATTTAATCGCACACCGCATCATACCGTGCAAACGACGATATTTTCGATATGATGTTTATATTACTATTAGGATGTTAGGGTTTTAATCCAAGTGAGAATATATACATTTTAAGACCTAACCAGGAACGACTGCGAAACATGCAGCACAAGGTCCTCTGGTAATACTGGTATAGAAATTGAACCTACGGCCCTGCGATTCCGGAGCAGCGCTCTAACCAACTGAGCTATACAGAGGCCAGCTGTTGAGCTGTAACCGTAAGTTCATGTATATATATAGGTAATCGGGTGTGTGGGTTGTGATAAGGTGGACTTGAATGACTTAGATTCTTGCACTTCACTTGGTGGAATTAATATTAGGATGTTATAGGGTTTGTAATCCAAGTGAGAATATATACATTTTAAGACCTAACCAGCCAACCAGGAACGACTGCGAAAAATGCAGCACAAGGTCCTCTGGTAGGAATTGAACCTGTTCATATTACTATTTAATAAGCTTTGCATGCAAGCGATTACTGCATAAAGACGACGAAATGAAATGAGCAATGTCTTGACCAAACTTCTACACATTCTTTATTTTAACACCAACTTGGAAAATCGTAGTTCATATATATAAACTTGCGAATTGTGTCCAAATTTTGTTTATTTATATGCACGTAGCCATACAGTTCGGCGGCGGGGCAGCGACTTTTCACTTGCTGGCAGGCGGAATACATTGTATTTAAGGTATACCATACTAGTATTTACCCCCAGCCATATAACAATAAGGTAGGCCTATATAGCTAATAGGAAATTTGTGAAGATCGCAAAATTCTCATGCATGCATTCTTTTCACTATAGCTCTATAGCTGCTTGGGCACAAATAAGCTATATAAATTTCCGCGTATATAAATAAGCTATTAGTAAAACTGTGGGTATTGCTAGGAATTGCTTGCAAGGTACATTAATAAGCTAACTTCAGGCAAAGTTTAGCTATATTAAGTATATTTTTACTGCAGTTACTCGTACTTTTCTTGGAGCAACGGGATGATAAAATATCCAGCCTTTGTCATCAGCGTTGCAATCATGAAAGTTGTGACCCACTTTGTGTGTTAACTGGCAGTTTGGAGTCTTCTTCTTGTGCTTTTTCTTAAAATTGGATCCAGCACAGAGTGGATATTGCAAACACTTCATGGCACAATGATTCTGGAACTCGTACGTCGCTTCAGACAAAATATTATTTATCAAAGCCAAAGGGCAAACATCTACAACGAAAAGAATATTTATCAGGCAATGAAAATAGCTAGGTAAATAAAATTGTTGCAAAAATGACATGGAAACGTTAAAAGAACAATATATATCTGATTATATAGTTCTATCAATTAGAAGGACTTCCTCAAACAAAAATTAAACTTACCTCCATACAGCAAGCGAAAAGGAATCGCCACGTTCGTGTGATCCTCAGGCACGCAGCGTTCTTGTTCCATTGTAACTGCAAGTGGCAACAAGATGAGGAACAGAAATCGCACAGACATGAGCGCTGTTCGAAGAAAGCGTTTCATGTTGTTGTTATGAGAGAACACGGACTCGGGTTGGCCAATTTTTTGGTTGTTTTCTGATCGTCGACACTCGACAGCAAAACTGAACTATATAAGTGGCAAATTTTATGACGTTATATGCATGCAACTCTGCATGCAACTCTGCAAGCGACACACTGTGGAATGGTAATTCCCATCCATTAAATATGTTTGCATTGCAAAACTGACGTTTATTTGCGTCCTAATTATTGAATTATGGCAAAGTATTGCATTAATTAAATTGTTTGTCAAAGTTTCACCTGTTCATGCGGACAGGATAGTCTTTTGGAACAAATTTTACACAATAAAATTTTAAACACCAAAATATAGCAGTCTCTTCTCATGGGACTGGCAGTTTTAGCTAATATCAAATTACTGTTATTCCGAAAACGTGTGCATAATTACAAATTCACAATACACGCGCGCATGCATTAGTCGCAATCAATTTTGTATTCTAACTATGCATGCAAACTTTTATCCGAATAACTTAACCACGCATCATATCGAAGAGAAATCGTTGTATTCAATCCATGCGGTATACTGCTCCAAAATCTTAATTATTACAGGCCGTATTGCTTCCATGATGGGCCGGAAAGGGCTATAGAGTAGTATAGGTGGAAACTAGGAAAAACGCTAGCATAATTAGAAATGCACTTAATTAACAAAGTAACCAAAGTCACCGGTTATTAATCGTTGTATAGCGACAATATATTTAACAGGTCATTACGTTCGTATAAACATTTAGCTAAAGTATTTACAGAAGACAACATTGATGTGAATAATATATAAAAAAAATTTTGAATAAAGTTTGATCCCATTACTGGCGAGCAAAAAGTTTCCTTATTCACAGTAAAATTTTCACATAAAATTATTTGATGCGCAATATATTCTTAAACGCCTGGCGTTTCATGAGTGCAGATGTCACTTGCGAGCCTCATTACAATACAATACAATTTATTATTAATACAAAAAGTAAATATATACAAGAATAAATAGTATTATCCGCTAATAGCTAAGCTAATTAGTTAGTCGAGGTGGATAATAAAGAAAAAAGAAAAATTGTAGTGATTAATTAGCACACATTACTTATTAAGATATATCCTGAATAATGAATATAATTAGAAACTATTTCGATCATCAAGCCAAAATTAATAATAATTTTTTGCATATTGGACATCGACACAGTTTTGAAAAGAAATGGAAAACTTAGCTTGCGATCTAGATCAATATATTTTTTAAAAACAAAAAGTATCTTAGTGCATGATGTATAACGCACATAAAGGGTTTGAATTTTTTTAAATCATAACAATGATTCAAAATACTAAACGAATTCTTTTTATTAAATAAAAATGTGGCTGGTTAGCCACATGTAGCTGGTTATAGCCACATGTAGCTGGTTAGACTTTATTTTTTAAGTTAAATAACTTTAAACCCAAAATATAGGCCATATTGAAGGGTAATTGCTGCCATAGCAACGGTGGTCGCGATTTCTTTTGTTTTCGAAAAATCCAACTCTTCTGTATAGTCCTTATTTTTCTAATCGGACTTACTTTGTTTTTTAGCCGATATAAGAATTGTTGAAAAAATCTCGTATAAATCGGAGATTTTCCATTTTCTAGTAAACTGTTGGGAGCCACCTTGAGTAAAAGTTAGTTTAAATAAGGCCATTGTTATGCAAACTATATAAAGATTTTTATATAAAGATTTTTATATAAAGATTTGACTTATTATGCAAACGTTTTTGAAGCCATTTAAAAAACTCGCAGGTCGTGGTTTATAATTAGGTCTAAAGCCACTTGCGCTGCGCGCTCGTGGCTTTAAACCTAATAAAACACTCCTGCTCGTTTTTTAAATAGTACATAAAGGATGGGCATAATAAATTAGGTTAGTTTGGTTCAGCATTATTCGATTTGTTGTAAACATCAAGTCGGCTGCTCCGAGCTCAACAGTCTATATTATATAATACCTTATTAAACTCTAATCGTTTAATTGGCTGTTTATGGTCACGTGATATTGAATAGAAAATTCCATTTCCGAAGAGTGCAATGGAACGCGTTCCATTGCACTCTCCGCGAGTGCAATGGAATAAAACGTATAGTACAATTGCACTCTTTGTGTTTTCGATAAATCGCATCCCTCAAAATGCTTCTCATACGAATCTATTAGTCTGTTCTGGACTTTTGGTATTATATAAAACAAATAATGAATGTTTCTTCGTGCAATGGTAAGAATATTTTCATTCGGTGAAAGATGGAATGTTCCATTCAACTCGGCTGTCGCCTCGTTGAATGGAACATTCCATCTTTCACCTCATGAAAATATTTTTACCATTGCACTCATAAACATTCATTATTTGTATATTAATATTCAGATTGTATTTTTAGGCCTCAGACTTTCGTGAAAAGAAAGAAAAAGCTTTACAAACCATTTCAGAATTAGTCCACTTGGAGAAGACTAGGGAAAATAGAGAAATTAGAGAAGTATGTTGCATAATTTGTATATCCGTATATAAATATTAATATTCTCTATTTTATATCAGCCTTACTGCTTTGCAGGGCAGCAGGTCGTGGTTAAATCCACAAATGTCAACACATGGAGGGAAGAACGTTCATCTATACATTACTGTTTTCGTATACATAGTATTCATACAATGTCATGCTCTGCTGTAGTCTGGTGTTTAGTTTTGCCTCATTTGAAACTTGCCTATAGACTCTTTTCATAAATGGCTGCCGATTAAAAATTATTTTATGTGCATATAAATTGGCCCAACTAGCCTCGTACTCATGTTAAGATTTCAAAGGAATTTCTACCCAGGGATGGGCCATGGGCCAGTTGGGCCAATTTATGTGCACATAAAAGAATTTTTAATCGGCAGCCATTTATGAAAAGGGTCTATTGAGAACACAAATCTATCCATAAGTACTATTTGACACACGAGCAGGAGTGCTTCTATGTACTAGATAAAACATGAGCAGCCGATTTTTTCTCTATTGTGGAAATCACACGAGAGAAAATTTTCGCACAAGTGTGTTTTCCCGCGAAATTTTTCGCATTTCACTAGTCGTGGAATTAGGCCTTAATGAGTTCATTGGCAAAGTAATTTTAAAACTAGACGTTATCTAAGCCGAGAAAATTGAAACAAACGAGTTATGTAAATTAACATGATTTTTTAATCACATTTTATCCTTTGTCTTTTCCTCATGAATAATTAATGATTTTTAGTAAATTATAGAAATACTAAGTAATGTTTTTTTAATTTTAGAGCCTTCAGCGAGAGTTGGAGAAACAAATGGAGTTCTTTGCTGAAAAGATTTGGCTTCTATCCCTTGCAAGAAAAGCATCAGAGAAAAGGTTAATGTATTGTATAACAAACTTATTAATCTATAATCTTTAAGAAACATTCAACGAATCTCCAACAAACGTAAGGATTATTTTTCATGCTTCTATAATGGGTTTAGTATATATTTTTCATTTCAATTCATGATGTACATATCGTATTTCTTGTTATAGGGTAACAAAACTGTTAGCGTTAATCGAAAGGTTGAAAGGTAGGCAAATTGAAACGAAATCATTATTATGCACTGCAAAAACGAACTGGTTAAAGTAACCAATTTGAATGCATGGTTGTCTCAGATGCATTTTCTTGTGACCAAAATAATTTCTTAAGATGAGAATCATCAGTTGCAAGAAGAAAGGGATAAAGCTCTTCAAAAGATTGGGAATCTCTCTTTGGGAAGTGAAGATATGGAGATAAGGTATAGTTTTGCGTTGTTCTTTTTAACAGCTTTAATTTGGCACGCAGATGACTAGACAATATTATACATAACATACATTGAACAAAAGTATATGGAGAATACTAACTACGGATTAAGGTGAACAGGTCCTAACGATTCTGCTCACTTTATAGGATGGAGGAGCTAGCCTCGGAATTGCAATCAAGCATGGAAAATTCGAAGCACTTGGAAAAACGGTGCAATGAATTGCAAGACAAGGTATGGTACCGGCTTTCGTGGTTATTTTTGCAGCCGTTTCAACTATTTACGTTCTGCTTTTATTTTAGCTTAAAAAAGCTGAAAGTGAACTGGATTGCATAAAGTAAGGATTGAATTTGAATGTAAAATAATGTATTGCTATTGTTGTTGTCGTTGTAGTTATTGTTTGTTTGTTGTTGTTGTTTTCGTCTTTAAACTATGTCGTTCTTTTAATATAAACAGATTAGAAAAAGAAACTCTGTCATCATCGCTTGAGGTAGAGTATTTTGTCATCAATTTCTCTTTACAAGTGTCGGTCATCTTTTTAAATCTTTAGTCTTGTTTGTTTGTCTAAAAACTGTCATATTTTCTTTAGCATGCCGACGGCGAACTGGCATCCAAGTACAGTCAGTTGGAGAGGTATGTCACGACTCTAAGGCCGAAAAAAATGAAAACCGCTGATCATCTCAAGCAAATTTCAAGGAAATTTTTATCCTTGGTGGAGGAAATCTACTGAAATTTTGACACGAAAGTTCATGATATTATGGAGACTTTAATCATTGACAAAACCTTTGGGGCAGTAGCGCATCTGGCACCCTCACCTTTGGGGCAGTAGGGCATCTGGCACCCTCTTAAACTTCGCGTCCCCTTAACGATGTTGATGTCAGCCAGCAATATTGCTTGGGGGTTGGCCGGGGGGGGGGGGCGGCATGGAGTGTGGCTATTTATGAATCTTAATTTGGATAATTGAATTTTTGACAATTTTTTCAATTTGCTAAACAGGTTTTATCACTGATTGTTGATTTTGGTAAAAATCTGAAATTCGTAAAAAAAACCCACTTAGATTATTCCTACTCAAATAAATACACACCCTCCAGGAAAGTACGTCACTTGGCAACAGGGCCTCGTTTTCGTGCATGTGACATCAGTTAAACACTA